GCCTTTCTCTCTCATTTAACTCCTACAGCCTCCTTATTTCAACCTCAGCCCACCAACCTTAGGTGAAAAAAAGGAAAATAACAAAATGTTTATATATTATCATGCCATTTAATCATATTATGTCTTTTCCCTTCCGTGCTGTAACCTGCTTTGTTTGTTTAGTCTGAATTTTAAACTGTGGGCTATCAGTTATTTCTTATTCACCATACAGTGGCTGATACTGCTGGTCCATCTCTGCTGCTGAGTGTTCTTGTAAGATATGCTTTTCTTACAAATAATGAGTTAAGGTAGACAGTGGAAGACTATCACTTTGAAGCAATAAAACCTTTCACCTCATACATCCTACTTGTGTGTAGTTTTGAACTGGGTTTTGAACTGGTTTGGTCGAAGAGATACAAGAGATGTAGAGCAGTGAACAGGAGCATTCTGTAAAAGTGACTGTGGTTTGGAAGGTAGGAGTATTCTTGCAGTGAAAGTAAAGTGAAATTGGTAGGTAGAATGAGTTCAATACACAAAGTGAATACTCAGTGTGTGAAAATGACGTTCTACCTGTAACTAGACCAGAAGACTGATTGTAATTTGTGCCATCATAGATTGTCTTTGGGATTTACTGTTCCTCAGAGGAAACTCCCTATGTCTGTGCTTTATGTATCTGCCTAACCTGCAAGCACCTTGTAATTATACTGTCTGCAGATCTGGTTCTAGGAAACTTGGATTCCTTTCTGTATGTAAATGGTCTGAATATTTCTGTGCCTTGTGGCAAGAGTGTAAGGTCTTGTTACTGACACCCTGCAGGTTTTGCATAAAATCATCAGCAACATCGCCCTTTGTTGTAATATGGAAACTCGGTTTTGACCTCAATGTGCTGAGACGGTTTGGCTCCATGTATTACCATTTTTTCCCCCTTTTTCTTGTCATTGAACATAGTTTCATTCATATTTCTTTAATGTATCATTAATGATACATTAATATATACATTACATCATTAATGACTTAATATTTAACTTTTTTTTTAGGCTGATGGTTAACAGGATAATCAAAACTCTCTTAAATCAACTAAAAATATTTTTGTTTTAAAAAATATGTTGTACAGGGAATGAGACATCTAGAAAAATCTGGTTTTGAACAGTGGCTGGAAAAGAAAGGCTGTAAAAAGCTCACAAGGGATTTTTTCTTGTGATCAGAATCCTCTTGGTATTTACTGAATATTTAGTTTTCTGAGTAATAAATAATTATTTTAAACTACTCTACAGTTTCTGTGTTTCTGGATTTGTCACCACAGCTGTAACTTTGTCAGCACATGAACTATATGAAACAGTGCTTCTTTAAAGGTTTTTTTTTGGACAACTGTCCTACCCTGTGCCAAAGAGAGTCTTTTTTTTTTTTTTTTTTAGAGTAATATAATATACAACCTTTCAAGAATCTCCTAAAAGCTTTCTGGTCTTTGGCTCATGCTCTGGTGAGGGGAGAAGGAGGATTAGGTAGACTGAGTGTAACTAAAAACACTCAGTATGCTAAAACAAATGTGTCCTTTACCATATATAGAAACAAAATCCTTTGTGAACTTGGACAATGTGTAGATAATATTACTTGTCAAGCATATGCTGAGGCGACAAGGATCCTAACTGATGGTACTGAGCATATACTGAAGACTTGTTCTATGCTTTTTATTTTAAAACTTCATGTATGAAGAAAAAAGGAGTAATCTGCTTGTGGAAGTTTCTTGCTAATACTTTCAAAAGAAGTGATCTGAATAGTCTGGATGAGAGGAGCAAAAAAAAGAAACAAAAAAGGGCAAACCTGCCTTTAGAGACAAGATTTGCTTGGTGTATGCCAACAAATATGTTTTATTTCCCACTATTTTATTTATAAATGTATGAACCCACTAGGTAAATAATAATCTTGTCCTCGTGAAAAAGCCCTCCTAAAATAAAGTTTAAGTCAAGTGCATGTGTTTTACATGCAAGTCAGATCTATACTCAGCTGCACAGTTATTCTTTTACATGGCCTATAGAATTTTGCACCAAAATTCTTGATCAAACACCTCTGAGCTTGTGAACATGTGAATTCGAGTCCCAGTGCTGAAACTGGATATATTTGCAGTTTTAGACAGTTGTTAATTTAGTTTCTGTTAAGAGACTTTTCTCTATGAAAGTTGCAAGGAATTCTTCAAGCTACATCTGCATTAGCAGGCAGCAGATCAGTTGTTATTGAGGACTTGGCATCTACCTATGATGTGTTTCAAGGAGGGGTTATTTAGCTCCAGTTTCATTCTGTGGTTTTAATTCCCGTTAGTGGTCGGTGTGCATTAGCAGCACGCCCAGAGATCATCTTCTAGCTGAATTTCATTGTGAAGGAAACTACTTTGTGCATTCTGAAGCTGTTCTGTTGTGAACCAAAATGCCAGGAAATGGGTGTGTTGAGTGATTTACTTCAATAGCATATTTCTGATCCGAACAAAAGTGTTAGTCTAATTTTTTAAGTGATGAGATGTGGTTGAAGAACTGAAAAAAAGTTATTGAGCTGATGGAGACAACATAGTTTCTTTTAACTACTTTAGACAACTTTTTAGGTTTCAAATCGTTGGCAACACTTCAGTGTTACTTAAAAGATCAAAAGCATTTGTCTTGGAGCAATTCATAGAGAAGTACCATATAAATTAATCTTTGTATTTTCAGATGCAGTTCTTGGCTTGCTCATTTAAAGAATACAGTTTCATGTAAGCTTTTAAGATGAACAGCCCTGCTGTTTATGCAGCAGTAGCATAGCTGAGGAAAGCTTTCCACACCTGTTGATCAACATCTGAAGAGTCAAGATAACAAGCATGTGAAGTCACACTTCCTATCTTTCTCTCCATCTAAAAATAAATGCTATGGCTCTTCAGCTTGTAATATGTGTGTGTGTGTGTGTGTGTATATATATATATGTAAAAGTCTGCACACAGCCGAGAAGCGTAGTAGCATTAAGCTATCATGATTTACTAGCTGTGCCATTCTTAAGCCAGAAGATAAAGTGGATAGTTCTTTAGCTGGACACTTTGCAAAGGATTTGTGCCAGGAACCAGTGACACCTTACTGAGGTAAAGAATTGGTCCTTGAGCACACGATGGAGAGAATGGCTATATCTCCTCTCACATTTAAATCTCTGTATTCAGTTTCTCCAGACTGAAGTGACTGTAGGGTGAGAATTCCTGTTTTTTTTCTCTTCTATCAGGATTAAGGAGTTTAGAATCCGCATTAACTGGAGAGCTTTGTTTCCTTTATGTTATATTTGTGCTAGTGTTTTCATGTAGGTCGGTACTTGCAACTAGATAGGCTTACTTTCTAATTCTATCAAAGTCATGTCCAACTTCAAACCTCTCAAAATAGCAACGTGTGATGATGCAATACCACTGAACTTTCACAGAAGTTTTGGCATCAGGTCATGTTCTATGACTTTATTCTAACCTAACAGTTCTATCTAAATTTCTGAGAGTTTCCCCACATTTAAAATTGGTATCTTTGGCCCTTGAAACAGAGGGCAGTTTGGGGTCTTCAGTTTTGAAAGCACATGATCTCATTCAGTTTTAGAAAGCTTATTTTGCACAGATAATGTACTCAGGTGCCTAACAGAAAAATTGTTTCATTCTTGCCAGTGGTTTGATAAATCCAAAGCATACTCCTCTGTCAGGTTGAAAATGCCAAACTTCTATTATTATCAAGTCACTTGACACTCAAGCTCTCTCATTTTTCATGACAGTTGAAAAGAAATAAAGAATCTTTGTCATATGAAGTAGATTTATTTATGCCTTCAGTTACTTCACAAAGAAATTAACATTAAGTAAGTATTTTAAAACACTGATGACATTTTATGTTTGTAAAAATAGACATTATGTGCACTCTCACTTTCAATAGGATTTTCAGATTTACACATAGCCCCAATGATACATGAGGATCAGAATTATGTTTTGTGCCCCAGAATAATTCAGGAACTAACCTTTACAAGGGTGCAACACTTAAAATGTCTGTGTTTGATATATAAATGTAAATTACAGATGCAGTTGACACATTTTAAAAATATTTAAATTCTGAAATAATATCTTAAGAGATTTTGAAGAGTCTTTGGATACATGGATAGTATGTTTCAAGCTTTGGGACTCATCTGAATTTTAAAATTTTTAAAAATAAATTTGAAGAATGTACAGCTTCTTATTTTGATTCCATACTCTTCTTGCATCTTAACCTTTTATTGTAGAATGGGGGAAATATAAGGTTTCCCCTTAGGGTTTCACCAGGCTTTTTGTAAGCCATATTTCCTTTGAATATTTTAATTAACTTTTTTTTTAAGTTGTCCAAGTTTTAATTTACCAACAATAAAGATATTATGATGATATTTCCCCATTGTTTCTATTAGGGAAATGGAAAGATGTAGATTCAAAAAATCAGGACCATTTTCTGCAGAAGAGTTTTAAGATTTACTTTCAGTCTTGATTTACAATGAGTTCCTATTAGAGTGTGAGTTGTTTGGGTTTTTTTCAAAAAACAATGTATGTGTGTGTGTGCCTCAGAACAATTTTCTACTGAGTGATGTGAAAGGTGATTTCTTTGCAAATCATTAAAACAACATAGAACATCTTTTTCGCTTCTTACTGAACAGCCATTTTATTGTATGTCTTGATATTGATTCCTTACCACAGTTGCTGCATCAGAAAATTAAGTCAATATAACCCCAAATTCAAAGCGAAGGAAGCAAATCTATTTTTGGCATACATTAATGGTAGTTGAATAATAGATGGTGGAAGCAGATGTGAGCAACTGCTTGTTTTATACTAGCCATATAAAATAGCTGCTTTTCTAATGATCTGTCAAGTTTCTACATTTAGTAGGGTCCAGCCTGTAAAGTTTTGGTGGCTTTGGTGTTTGCAAAGATCCTTAATTTATGTTAATAATAATTTCTTAATCACAGCACTTATGTATATGCTGTAGAAATCATGTCATAACCTCAGTTGTTTCACTTTTCTGATTCCAGTACAGCTGTTTCAGTTCATACATTGAGTTACACTGGCAACTTCAAAGATAATATTTTAGCAGAATCTTACTGGTATAACATGCTACTGCTGGCTAATAGGGACTTCCACCTCCCTCAGAATCCCACAAGAGAAGGTTTAAAAGCTGCTACTTTGGAATCAGGCAGGAGTCCTGACACTGATACTGCAGTTCTAAGCTGTTAATGGCTTTTGGTGTGCATGCATGTATTGGTGTGTTAATGTCAGACTAGCATTTTGGGTAAACAGTAACTGCTTCGTATCCCTCTGGTGGCCTCATGCGAGCTCGTGCGTGGGCTTCACAGTATAGCTGGCCCTCCACAAAGAAGTAGCCCTTTTGTTTCAGGTTGAGATTGCAGTCAGAGCACACGAAACATTCTGGGTGCCGGTATTTGTCACGTGCCTTCACCACTGTTCCTCTATATGGAAAGAATGAGAAGAAAAAAAATATTAATTCATATGAATTTAAAGTAAGAAGCAGCTACAGTATGGCACAAGTGATTTCTAGGTATTTATTTTAAGGTTGTTTGTCTGATGGTTTTGCTAACTACTGTAATAATTTAAGGTTGGAAGCTGAGTTTGAGTAAGTGACATAAAATGCTGTAGAGCAGATTGCATAGTTCAGTAGTTCATTGGAGAACTAGGGTTTGGAGAAACATGTTAGTTTGCTTACAACACAGAAAGTACAGTTTAACCTATCAAAATGGTGACAAAAATAGTTTAAAAAACAGATTTCTATTCCCCCGTGACCATATTCTCTGAGCTCTCATTATCTGTGTTTTTGCTGAAGTTAGTAATGTCACTCAGAGAGAAATCTGGTCATTTTAAAACAGGCCCACATAGATTTCTGGCTACTCCCACTGGGTGGGGAGAAGGATGCTGTATACTATCACAAAACTTTTGAGAATTCACAGCCCAAGACAAGGCAGCACAGGTAACTGCTGGTTTCGTTATGCATGTGTTAATGATTGCAAAAGGTCTGGAGAAATCTTAATTAAACCCTTGGAGGTACATTGTCAAAACTGAAGCAATCTGTATTGAAAGTAACTAAGATACAGGTTAATAATTTGGGATTTAGAACAATATAGTTTTATATCTCTGTTTTCTAGAAGCATTTTACTACTAGTGCAGATGGAGACCGAGACCATCACTTGGGAAGCATTCCTGTAATCTGCGGTGGTGCTTGAGGACATGTGCTTGAACTAGAGATTTCTAGTACAAAAAAAAAGCAACTTACAGAATCCCATTCCCACACTTGTCACACAGTGGCACTTTCTGGACGCTGGGCATGGCAGCAGGTGTCTTCGTCACAGGTGCTTTCACACTTCTTGTACCTGCAGGGCGTCCATCTGAGAAACAAAGCAGTCCTGGTATGTACAGGCTAATGTAAAAGCATCTGATCCAGTTAAATAGTTCTCCTATAAATACACTTCTGGAGGTATTTATGGGATTTCATCTATATCAACAAACAATGAAGTTTCTCTAAACAATTTTAGTGGTATCAGGAATAATTTTGTGCAGCTGTAGCCAAAAAGCAAGTACAAAAGTGATTTTATACACACACACACATAGTGCTCTCTCTCTCATCAACACCACCTAATTCTCTGATAGTAGGTCTTGGATATAGAAAGGGAAGGAGAAGGATTTGGTTTTAACATAGCAATATAACATAAGCCTATTAGAAAGTTCTTATTTTTATAACAAATCATAGAACAGATTTGGAAAGATTAGCAACATGATATGAATACAAAATTATAGTGAAATACAAGAAAATGCCAAGCAGAATCCCACAATGAGGTATATATTTAGAGAGAGAGAATCAGGTGTATTTATTCCTTCTCTGGTAAATACTGAGATATAAAAATGAAAATTTTAAGTATTTACCTTTTATGTTATTTTTGGTTGTATCATATTCTTTAAACTTACTGAATATACAACAAACTTGCAGCCTTTAGTAATATTATTTTCAAAACTTTTTCATTTGAAGGGAATATGGCTGTAAGTTATATTGTCCAATTCAATTTTTATTTAGAATGAAGAGGGAATGGGTGAAACTTATTTTAGAAGTTGGTATAAATTTCTCTTTTCGTTGATTTGGAGGAGGGTGTTTTCTTTCTTGGTGTCAACAATATATGTATCTTGTCCCAAAAGGTTCTCTTGCACAGAATTTTTAATCATGCAGTTAATGTCAACTTTTGTACATTAACAATCTTAAAATCTAAGAAGATATTCAGAAAAATGTGATTAACACCCCCTTTTTATTCACACAGGATATTGCTAATTACAAAATGAAAATGTTAGGAGGCTGGTGTGCTATCTGTAAGATTCAGAATGACTTGAGCTTATCGGAAATTCTTACAGCTCTGATCTCTCATGTTTTCTTCTCAGATTCCCTTTTCCCACAAACATGTAAAATTACTTTGAATAGGTAAAATATGTCATTATTAACCACCTTCCTCGGAGACTAAATTCTGGAGCACCTTAAAGGAGCCAGACTGGCGAGGCTGACTGGACTCCTCCTGGTTGGCATGCAGCATCTTGTACACGTCAGACTGAGGCACTGAGTTGGGAGATGGGTCACTGTATCACAGGGAGGAAGAGCAGATAGAAGAGTTTAACAAACGTAACTTTAAAGTAATAGCTCTGTCAGGCATAGGATATGATCGAGGAGACAAATGAAGAGACAATATGTTTCTACAACTTCTGAAAGATTCTGTCTTCCAGGTAGCATTGCTTTATATAGCACCCACCTTGGTATAAAGTGTGCTGAAAAAAATGACAAAATCCCCCCTACAGACTCATTAAAATATTCCCATAATTACTGTTCTAGCTCTAAGGGCATTGGGAAATGGGCTGGTACCTGTGTTTAACCTCAAAGCTGTTGTATTCCTGAAATCAGCTGCTGTATTAACAGGTGCTCTTTGCTACAGTATCCGGAAGTTCCACTTTCACATGGAACTCAGCTGGCCTCAAGATTGTTGCTGAAAGTTACAGCTCATACCTTTACATAAGGTCAGCCAAAATCTAAGCAATTGGGAGAGTATCATGACATGAAGGTGTTCTTCTAAACTGGCTCGATCAATAGTTAACATGGTGATTATTTGGCTAAGATATTTGTTAATTGTTTCACTTATGGAGATGACAAAAGCGAAGTAGGTATTGCATAATAGGGAGCATTGTAAGGTGAACAGTGATGGATGGAAACTCTATTTCTTAATTTAATTAGAATGGGACATGGCTTTCTTTTTGTAATGCCAATTTTACAATAAAAATATAGAGTAAATTATTGTCCAAACAACAGTTAATGTTTGCATTTGCAATGACCCATGAGGTAAAGATTACTGAGAATATTTCATGGTATTTTAAACTGTGTCAAATGTTTTAAATAGATCATAATAACTGATAACTTAAGTAGTTGAGAGGAAGAGTAGATGACTCTGTGCACTGTCAGGAATTAGGCTGAATATATGCTATCTGTAAATTTCAAACTGTCACTGAAACTAATTAGAAAAGTCAAAATTTCCTGCAATGAGGTCTATTATCTCACTGATACATACATAAATGTCTCTTAAATTTCCTGTTACAATTGGCCTTACGCTGTTTATTGAACAGTAGATAAGCTTCCACTGGAAATAAGCAACTGATTCCATAAGGAATTAGATGGGAACTTGCTTTATATGGTTTGTTTTGTTTCCCAGGGTAGCACCTGAGCTGTCAAATGGCACAATAAGAGCATCAGCCTGTTGCTTATTTTAATTGTTTGCATCTTCATTAATCAATAGATTTCTCTGAACCATCTTTAAGCTGGTAAAGAAATTACCATTTTTTTCTCTTGTCACAAGCTTTTAATTAATAGAAGTAGCTTAGTTTTTACAGTTCTTACTAATAGCTCATTAAACCCTTCATTCTCTACTGTTTACTAAACATTTCTAAACATCAAACAAGTGATAATACAATTACATACAGAAGAGAAAAAAAAAACAGACACAAAGGTGTGAGATAAATTTCTAAATACATACATAGTGAAAAACAATCCCACAACAACAGAGACACTTCAATCCTGTATAGAGATTCAGTTCTCAGCCTTGGAATACCACAGGCATTTGTAAAATTGGGTTGCTCTGAGCTAAATCCATGATTTCAGAATGAAGGAAAAGCACATTTTTCATTTATTGCTCTCTCATTGTTGTGACTGAATATAAATATTCATGCAATAGAGTAACATTTTGCAAAGACTTCATGAACTATGGTTTTCATCAGACAGGGTGAATTTAAATACTTCTATATAAATATGATTTTATGGTTAGTAACAGCCCAATTCTGCAAGGTGCTGAAGAAGGCTCATTGGTGCCAGTGATTATTGCTTATTTAAAATATTAGTAATGAGCTTTAGTTTACACCATACATATTATGAATTTTTAACTTAAGTACTATTGAAAAACAGAATAATAAGTTACTATTATATGAAAGTAAAGATATAGCAACATGAATGATGAATTGTCCCTTGGAAAAAAGTGAATACTGCTTTAAACTTTTTAATTGTATAATCATTGTTGTTATCCAGATACATAAAGTTCCTGCCTGACTTTTAGTCATTGCAATGGATAAAATTCATAAGTCAGAGCTGGATTGGTAGGCCTACAAAGTCAGTTCTGGCTCTTTTTGGAGAAGAGCTAGTTGTACTGAATGAGTTACCCTGAATGGGAATTAAATATCTAGAACACTATGAAAATTTACAAGATCTCCTAAGCTTCACAACCTGAATTTCAACAGTTGAAATAAATGTGTTAATATTATTAATTATTAACAATGTTATTAAATATTTAATAAATAATTATTATAGCAATAGTAAATAGTTTTGAATTTGGGAGGGAATCATAATCTTGATTTGGAGTGCTCAGTCAGCTAGTAATCCAGGTAGTGTCGTCAGTTCTTATTTATTAGCTACAAAAAAAGATTATTTCCTATGAAGTATTCATCTGTAAATTCTGAAAGACTCCTCTAATACTTTGGCTTAAAAAAGGTAATTTATTAATATTGTAATGAAAATATGTAATGGCTTTAAAAGGCTTAGCTTGTCTCTAACCCTTTTATCCATTTTTGTGGAAACGGTGTGGTTTTATCGAAGCTCATGATTTTTGGTATATTCTAAATTTGTATGTTCATAAATATGAAAGATTCTTCTGATTACCTTATTACAGGTGTTTCCCCCAGAGCTGTAGAAACTTGGCCTTGCAGCGTTTCCATGATATTGTCATCTGAGTACAGCTGCATAGGTGTGTTAAACTGGGCGTGTACGATCTTGACCCCGGGCAGCTCCATTTCCAAGGGGATGTTTGGGGCCATCTTAGAGACTGCTTTCAGCTCGGTGGGGCAGATGGAGCTGACCGTGCTAACTGAGGAGGGGGTGCTGCGCCCGCTGCCGCAGTCAATCCCCGAAGGAGTGCTGCACCCGCTGCGTTAGTAGCCGCGGGACAGAAGGGTGCGCGGCGCGTGCCGCCGTACAGGGAGTAAAGACAAAAGTACAGGAATACGTGATGTTAACAGGGCTGGAAAAGCATAAAGAGAACAGACAGTACAGGCAAGCAATCGTGTCTAAAGCAGAGAAAAGCAAAAGTATGTGTAGTCATCGAAAAGCATTTCCCTGTGAAAAGTATCTGTGCCAGCTTTTCACATTTTTAATGCTAGATTTTACAGAGGATTAATTAAGCCTGCCTAAAACTGTTGTAGATATGTCGTTCCTAACGTTTACCGAATGGCAGCACACAAAGGTTAGGTGAGCTGTCCGTGTTGGTGACAGAATAAACACCTGCAGTCCTGGAATCCTAGACACAGACATCCCAGTCCTGCACCTCACAGCCATCCCTGTCCACAGTTGAAAAGACTGCTTTAAAATCGTGTAAAATAATGGATGCCACGTTTCCAAGATCTCCTTGAATTCTACAAGAAGATATTTATGAATCTTTTAGAATCAGTTTAACAATATGTTTAGTTTTTTATAACATCTGTTGAACATTTCGAAGAGGAAAAGGTGCTTAAATGGCCTGACTTACTTTTGCATTTCCTAATTATAGTGTTTCTGGTAGAATGTAAAGTGGTCCTTCACAAGAGCAATGTCTGTGTTTTCAGAGAATTATTTTTACTGCTTTTGAAGTAGATTTTACATATAATTTATATATAATTAAAAGGATGTACATTTTAAAAGAACTATCAGTGTTGCTTGACATTACCGAAGTCACTGCACACCAATTTGACATCTCTGGAAAAGGGTTAGTAAAATAATGTGAACATTAGGGTCAAAGCCTTTTTCAGTATCAGTATTCTGAACTCTTAGGTCTTTTCTCCATTGCATGTCAGAGCTTTTCTTTGTTATGGGATATTTCTTTGCTGTTGCTGTGTAACAGCACATAACCCAGGCTTTCCACAGGCCTTGGTTACCATTTATGTGACATGCAGAGCTCTGAGATGATAAGCACTTAATCTCTTTCCTCCAACCTTCATGTCAGGGTAGTGTTTAGTTCTTTCCAAGCTGAATGATTCTGTGTAAACCTGGGAAAACACTCTGTTTCCCAGTTTGGTAGTAGAGTACTCTGCCCAGTAGCTACTCTTGGGTGGAGGAGACAACGCAGAATTCTCCCTTTGATTCGGAAGGGAATTTGTGTAGGACCACTTTCTCAAAAAATGTAAAGGGAAATATATGCTCTAACATCAAACACATATCAAAAGAAAGCTAATTCCAGAAATGGTAGGTAAGCCTTAAAGCAAAAGTACAGTTCTGCAACATTGCCTAGCAGGAGCCAGCCAAAAACTTCACACAGCGGCAACTTAAAAATTCAGTCTTTTCTTTTAGAAGCATCAAGAGGACCTTTAGATCCTGCAGTAAAATGTCTTGTCAGTGCTAATAGTGTTAGTAGATGGAAAGTAGTGGGAAAAGACTAGAAAAAGCACAACCCTTGATGTGAACAGCCAAAGGAATGTTAAAACAGAATAAATTATAAGTATAAATAAAATATAATGATATAGTAAATATAATTTCCAGTTAGTTTTGTCAGAGTAAAGTCCAAAACTGAGGCTAATGTCCAATCTCTGCACTCAAACCCACTGTCCAGAATCCACTCTTCTTTTACTCAAGGTCCTATTTAGCCTCAGCTGTCTGCCCTAAAGGGATATTTACAGTCAAGGTGGTGGTTTGGTTTTTACTGTATTTAGCAGAGGATATATATCAAGCCAAACTGATGAAAAAGTATCAGGCAAATAGTGTGACAGCCAAGGTTTTGTAGATGTAACATCCTGTGTCAGAGGTGCTGCAGTTTATAAACACAGACTTCCCCAGAGCTAGAACACCTGACAGACCTTGCCCAGCTGAAGTTCTGAAATTTGTTGCATCACTGCCAGGTTAATTTTTGCAGGTTTCCCCCCCTCTAACATGATGTAAAATGGCCGTTTACGTCAATGTTTTCACAGAAAAGATAATGCAGTCGATGTTTCTGACTTAGAAGGTTAGGCTCTTGATACACTCATTTGAATTTCCATAAAGACAATTAGGTACCTATAAATGGTACCTACTGGTCCAAAAGTCAGTTTGGGTACGGTATGCAATTGCTGCCTGCAGTTAGAGGCCATGCATGTTTGCTAAGCTCTGTTTTGTCATTTGTCCTGTATCAGCAGCAGACTGCAAGGACAGATGGGGACCTTTTCTGCCCTGTGGCAGTGTTCTACATTGATAGTTCTTGTTCACAGAAGGGTGGGACTCTATCCATCTTCTATGGTCTCCTCTTTATCACTCACACGCTTGAAAAATTTAACACATCTCACAAAACTGATAATCCATATGAAACTGTCCTTGGGACACAGCAATCAGTTATGGCTTTTTTCTTGGTCTCGTTTGTCAGACTTAAATTAGTATAATTGCAATGCAGACACTTTAAGCTTTAAGAATGAAATGCAGAACCCTAAGTCCACTGGTAAAAACTGCTACTGCTAGGGAGGATAAAGCGTAGCATCACAACATACCGCATCACTCAGGCACTTTTGAGCTTCTTTGCATTTTTAGTCACCAAGTTTGCATTGTTTTTTTCCTCCCTGCATTTAATAATAATAATAATAATAATAAATGAGGCACTTCATCCTCAGTTACGATAAAGGAATATTACAACAAAGTGATGCATGTAAATACGCAAGCTCTTCTGCATTTTAGAGCTTTGCATGTCTGTGGCATCAGATCTCTTTTGGTTCTGCATTAGTTTGCCTTCCGAACAGAGGTCTGCTAAAAAGCAAATTGTAAATCTCTGAATGACCTAGATGATAATTTATGTTCTGCCTAGAAGATAATTTGTTACCTGTCAAGTTAACAAATTACATGTATTTGCATTTGGACAGAAGAATTTCAGGTTGCCATAGGTTTTTAAGTATACGATAGCTGATGTTATGCTGTAAACTGAATCAGGTTCATGAATACAGTTTCTTCAGGCTTTTATCAGTATAACTGAGATGGGAATGTGGACCTGCTTTCTTTCGGAAACAGAAATCTGAATTTCAAGCCTGATCTGTGCAAGTCAACCATTTTGGTGTGGGTGGTTTGTTTGTTTTTTTTTTTTTTCAATTTCGGTGTTAGGCTGTATACTACTATAAGTAAATTCCAAACGCATCACTATGCTTTATTAATGTGAATGGTGAGTATCCGTCAAAAAATAACACCATGCATCCCAATCCAGCACAGCACTCAGAGTTTATAACCTGCTTCGGCCTGAGACTATGAAAGGTTTGGGACGAATATTATGCTTGTGTTCAAAGTAGTTCATATCCTGTAAAGAAAGGAGGGTTTAGATAACTTTCTTTGGCCTCCGAATGCTCACTTCCACTTAAAAAGCAAGTAACAAAGTTTTAAAATTGTAACCACAAAGTAACCATGTTTAGTTTGTACATTCCTGGTACTCAGAATGCAATCCCTTCAGTGTTGAGAGTGAAGTACAGTTGTAAGAGAGAAGGATGGTAGGTAGTGTTGTAGCCCAACACAGAGGGCAAGCTTTATCTACCTGCAGTGTTGCTATGACAGAGCCGAATGGATAGCTTTCTGTGTTGGAAAAAAATAGGACTCTTTTATCACCCTTTTTTTAGATAATAAATTCCTGATTATCAGAAAAAAAGAAACAGCAAGAGCTGGACTTTTTAATTGAAAACAGAACAGAGAGCAATATATCACAAATGGCCATGTATTACAAGTCAATACCAGTACTCACTTTTGTGAAGAGTTAGGAATGAGCCCCCTCAGCTGTCCATGGAGCGCGTCTTGAATATTGCCAGATGAATACAGCCCAATTGGAGAATTATAGGAGGAGCTCACTACCTGTCTTTTGTCATCAATGTTTGCTGCTGCAACAAAAGGCTGGGCCCTTCTGTTGTGAGCTGTACCAATAGGCTTGAATTCCTGTACATGATAGGCAGACAAAATACACAAAGCTACAATGCACACCAAAGCTAGTGATGAGTAAAACTGACGACATCAGTATTGTTAATCTCTGCGTTTTTCACTTTTGCAACTTTGTTATTTTTTTAACTGGTGCAAGCATACTATATTTTTCCATGAATTTTCCATATACTACTTAATACATACAGATTCATAATTCAGAGACTATTTTCCTGCCCCAGGGCAAACAGAAAACATTCCATGTTTGTAAATAATGCACAACTTTAAGAAGCAATAGGAGGGATTACTATTATAACAACCTGTTGTACTGTTCTCTAGACTTTGCACTCCTTTTATTATCTCCTTTTAAAAACATTTCATGTATGGTTATCTTATTTGCTTTGTTTTAGAGCTAATCCTTGGCTTCTGCATTTTTTCCACATGCTGGTGGAGAGACTCAGAAGAGTCTGGAGATTTTATTTTAAATGAGTTGCCAAGAAAAGACATAATTCCTAACACTTCTTTTAAATAAAATAGTATTGAATGCACACCAGATTGAGGACATTCTTCTGAACTTATTCCATACTTTGAAGCACACCTGTGCATCAAAAATTGTGATGCTGTATAAGTTAAAGATAATGAGAAATCATCATAAGTAAGTAAAACCCAGAAATGGGTAAACTGGAAATCATTCTGCCTGTATTTGTTTATTTCTGGAATATAACTTTGTTTATTGTTGGCCCAGATAATTTCCTCCAGTTGTGGAATTCACAGGGATAAGATCTGAAAACAAAATCTCTTGTGACCTTTCAGCTTACTTACAGTGTTCTTCTGTAGTAATTAGCCAGCGTAGACTGACAATACTTCAGTTGTCACAGAAATCTTTGTTGGTTGTCTGATTTAGCTTTGCTTATGACTGTGATTGGTGTCCTAGGAATACATCTACAATACTATAGACCGTGTCTGTATTTGTGTTGTTACCCCACTGTGTCATGTGATTTATAGGCAGTTGAAATTCTGCTCCTGTTGAATGAGATTTATTTGAAATTATTGAAGCTTGTTTTTTAGGTACCAAAACTTGTGGCTTAATCATGGTGTACAGTTTATGGTCAGGTATTTACTATCACATATTTTTAATGGTGACACCCCCAACATCTTCAGCTTTAAAATTATTCGGGTGCAATTGTGGTCTTTCATTTATATCCTTCAAGCTGTACAAACTAGTCTCTTTGTTCTGCTAAATAAAACTCTAAACAGAGTGGATTTTTTAATGCACAAGTGCCTTTTTAAGCTTACGTTAGCCTTTAGGAATACTAGAAAAATTTCCAGTTAGAACAAATACAACCTATTACCAAAAACCAAAATAGATCTTTGAATACTCAAATCTACAGAATAAATGAACATAACAAGTGCTGATTAGATAAGCATGGACTCATTTTTGACATCTGCAAATCTTTTTTAATTCTTCAGAGCATTATTTCCTTTCTCAGTATCAAGTCTCTGTTTACAGTTTTGGTGAATAATTTATAAAAATTATGAAAACCTGAATGTGAATTTGCCCTTTTTTTTTCATTTAAAACAACAATTTCAGAAATATATTTGGGAACAGACCTAAAGAAAAGTCATGGATATATAGAATGTGCAACCAGAAATGCAAACAGTAAAAAGCAGTTTTATTAAATGAAAATGTTTAGCAGCATTGCACTGTAAGAGGCTACTGAAAGCAGCAATCAAATCAATGAGCACAGAGATTTTACTTGCAATTCCTTGTTTCCATCAGATAGAACTGGGTTGCAGTTAACAAAATGTATTAGTAAATGGAAATAATCTTCTAGTGTTTAGGACTGTGTCTACTTAATGAAAGATATTAATGTCAAAGTATTTTAAAAAATTATTTAAATTCATATATGATACAAACCAAACAAAACCAATTGTGAACATTGTAATTTCATCCCTCTTTTTAATTTCTTGACAAATGAACAGCACAGAGACATGTGGCACCATGAAAGCATGTTTACAATGTAACAGTTGTGAAACAAATATTTGCAGTTAGTGAGACTTAAATTTTACTTTCTTTTTTAACTCATCTATTCATATAGAATGTCAGTTACAGAACACACAGCAGCAAAAATAGTCCAGCTCTTGTGTTTATTTGATCTCATTGGATCTATGAAAAGTCCTCCTTTAGTTCAAAAGCTAAATGAGAACTGGAAGTAATCAGGTTTTACATTTGAAGTAACACTATACTACTTTTGGAGTTCTCTCCATTCGTCTGGGCTTCAATGCCTTTGTTCATTGTGGGACTTCAGCAAATTCTAATATGACATAAACAGCACAGGTTATAGTTGTGCCATAATTTGTCATCTGAGCTTAAAGGAACTTTAATGTTACACTGTTTTCACTACTGCTATACACACAGCTGGGACTCATGTTTTAACTAAATAAGTGGTAAAATTTAATTTAAAATGTCAGCAACTGCAGAAGAAAAGGCTATATTGTTTTTCTATAAGGAGATCAGTGTGATGGATATTCTTAGACAGAAGAATTTAACCTAAAATGTAAATCACTCCTAGATTTTTTTTATATTTACAAGCATTGCTACTTTTCTGGGGCCTGGTATTTATTAAATATACTCGCTACTCCTGATCCTCCTGGGAAGGAAAGAGAGAGAGATGCTAAAATGAAGAGGCTGGCTATTTAATCTAGGAGAAACAGTTTTTCTGGTTGCCCAATGGAGACTGCTTTACAACAGTCTGCAAAGCAAGATAGCACTTTGTGAAATCTTGTGGTGTATTTTTAAGTAACTAACTTTTTTAGGAATACAGCTTTCATGCAAAAGGATTACCCTCCTGTCATATATGCCTATGTGGTTTTCTCTATAGCTTTTTTAGTGAACTTGTTCCATTGCTATTTATTTTATGTATATCCTAACTATTTCACAAAAATAGGCATGGAAAGTAATTTTTTTTCTTCACTATACCATCTCCTACTGCTAAAGAGGTGATGTTATTTCTGATTAAGTTTGCTGTATCACTTAATGCAAATTTATAGATTGAAAAGAGGAAAGAGAACCAGAACACTGAAATGCCATATTCATGTTTGGAAGTGTCTCTGTGAAAATGGAATTGATCGAACTATTTATTGCATAGGATTTATTGAAATGGAATCTGCACTTACATTTGTTCCAGGGTAGCACAAAGTAAATACTTTGACATACTTGCTGTGATCCTGGCCTTCCAGGATCAGCCAAATGCTCTTTCCTCCCCACTCTTGAGAGAACAACAAATGTTCGTGTAGGAATGACATGGGAATAAAGCACTCATTATAGACAGTAGCTTCCTAATTTACTATTAACAATACAGAGACTTGGCTCATAGTTTTGCACAAGGGGCTGGGTTTGAATTTGAAGACAGAGGAGGATTTCAAACAGCTGGGTTTTCCTTGGTTGTGTACAAGGATCAAGACTTTGCCTGTCTGAAGTGGTGAGTGGTTTGCTTATTGGTCAGTACATGGGTTTTGTACAAACTTGTCTTTCAGTTCTGTGGTGTAATGTAAAAACGTGTGGAAGTAAAGAGACCCAGCATTAATGTACCTCTCTTTTTAACTGTTACATCAAAATTACGTTTGTGATGTAATGAGTTCATGGCTTTGGTACTTGACATTTATTCCTGATTGAAGAACTTCCTCATATGGTGAAGAATCTCTAAAAGAGTTAAAGAGACTTAAACTGTATCGTAATAGAAGGAGAAATTTTCTTTCCATAATGAAACTATGGTGGTATGTACAGATTTAAAGAAGAAAAAAGAGAATGTGTTGTAACTTGCTAAAATTTTGTTTCAGATATAGCTGAAAAATCAAAAACATCCAGTCAGATAAAATCATATTAATACATGTCATAATTGTGATGGTTCACATTGGCTTAAGCTGGCAGGCAGTGGATAAAGTCCTATTCAAAGTATTTCGTGAGCACAAGGGAGATATTTTAGAGTGTAAAAAGGCAAATGGAAATTGTTAGGTAACTTTTAACAATTCGTACCTGTGGTTCAGCTTCCAAGTTTATCTTGAAGGGATGTGCTTTGCCATCTTCTGAAACTTGTGGGGACCATAATTTAGTTCCTGTCCTAAAAAGAAAGAGAGGCAGAATTTAAATAACTTGAATTCCTATACAGTTATGTGTGTCCCTGTAAACTATAATGCAGCTTGAAAATCTGCACTCTGTTCTATAGGATTTTTTAATGTTTTGACACATATATATTCAATAATATATAATGTGTACTGTATGTAAACAATCTATAAGAACTGTATTTACTTAAAAAAATTATATATACTATGAAAAATGCAAAATAATTTGTTAGTAATTACCAAATCCAAAGTGAAAGGGAAATTATTGCCTTTCTGGCCTGAGCTGACCAAACTTTTTACAGTTTTGGTTTTTAATGGTTGATAAAATGAATGTTAGGTCCTCAGAATATTTTGAACAAAGAAGTGAATATATTGATATATATAATCCTAAACTAGGACAACATAATTTTTTTTTAATGACCACAATATCCATGCAAAACCCACCTTTCAACGTAGGACGTGTGCAATCTTGGTATGCAAAATATGTGTGTAATTGGGTATTGAAGTTGCACAGATGATTCTTTCAATCATTTAGGCAGAGATAAGCAACATTTAATATCAGCTACAATTCTGTTTTCATTGACAAAGTAAAATTTGGCAGATAATTTTAAATTAAAAAAAATAATTTTTAAATAATTACAATAGTGTAATATTGTTAAATATTAATCCATTATTTTTTTATATAAATACAAATATTTAGCATTTAAAATATGAGTATATGTCATTACACATATTTTGCAAATCAGTCACTAAAAAGCTTTGCTAAATGGCATATATCGATCTGTAACAGAAACCAGAATTAACTGTAGGAATTTTTAACTGTGGGGTGTGCCCTAGTAATTACACAATGTTCCTTTCAGAAACAAAACAACAAAAAAAACCCCCACCTTCTGTGTTTGGAAATAAATATTGTGGTCAGCTGTAATAAAATGCTGTGCCTCCTTGAGGGCCTCAGGTCAGTCAGAGCTATCTGATTCTTGGAGACAGCTGAAAGGGTCCACTGGGTGGTTCTGATTAAAGGCTGAGCAAACTGGGGAAATGTGAAGATGCAGGCTGATTCTTTGGCTGGCTTTGGTTGAGAGAAACGAATGCAGAATTTCTGGACTCCTGAAGTTTAGGTAAGTGAGTTTTTTTTTTTTTTTTTTTCTTAGTTTTGTTTTGTTTTTAACACTGCTTTAAGAATTCTGTGTTTGGTTTAGTACATTGTGATCAAAACAGTTGGATTTAAACCCCCTCCTTTGTCACCCCTTATGAAAGTCTGACGTGGTGTTGCTCTCCTTAGCTGGGAGGATGCACCAGCAGTGTTGTCTGTGATTTGGAGCAGGAGGCACTGATAACCACTTGTTGATGAGGGAGTGTTAGAGCACAGAGGTGACTGAACAAGTGGCAGCCAGATGTGGGTTTTATTCTTTTCCTCCCAAATTAGGAAGAACTGTTTGTTTACTGACAGCAAATATAGAAGTTTCAGGCTGAGGCATTTAGGCGGTTGCAGATGGAAGAGGCAGTAGGTGGCATGGTTCAAAGCTCAATAAATGTGGTGAGTAGGCTCAGAGAACCTATTCTTGTGCTCACAAAGGCATGTTCTTGGGAGTCTGACCTGGTCTAGAGTTGGTGAGGTAGGTCTTTGTGCTTGTAGCTTTTAAGGTTTTGTGCAATGCTTAAAATATATTAAATAGTTACACTGTACATTATTTGTATGGTGTATTCAGTTGGTTGGGTAGTATCTTCTTTCAGAAGTAAGCATACATGTACACGTACCTCTCTATTTTCAAACAAAGTTGATGTGCAGCTGCTTTAATTCTCTCTTGGGCATCATTATGTGTCATGTTCTCTGTGCTTAGTCCATCTATAGCTACAATAACATCACCAGGGCATAGATTTGCAGCTGAAGCCTTGCTTCCAGGGGTAATCTGGAAAAAACAAAATTTGACTGCTTAAGCACCACACATACCTGAAAACTGGTAGAGAAAATAGACTTCACTATGCTTCCGTGTTGGAGGGGAAGGAGGCGTGTAAACAGCTATATGATTGCTTAAAAAAAAAAGTGAGTTCTTAATTCTGTCAGACCCCTTCATTTCTATTGTCAGATGACTACATAAATGCTTTGTTCATCATAACGTCGAAGCTGATGAAAATTATCTTCACATTTCTGCTTTAAATAGTTTCCATTCTAATTTCTGTAGTTACTGTAGCTTGTCTTTGAATTTTCCATCTCAACTGCCACTGTGTAATTTGCTTGGGAAAAAAAAAAAAAGTTAAATTTTTCCCTTACAAGTCCAAGCCATAGCAGAAGAATAAAACTGTCAAGAAATTGTGCTACTTAATATTCATGTACATGATATGCCATTGGCTGGATAATGTAAAAAGCCACTTGTGACCTTACTGCATTTAAGGACAAATACAGCTGTTAGTGTTTTCTGCTAGCCTGGCCTCTCATGTTGTATTGCTAAGTAATTAGAAACATGCAAATATTGAAATTACATTTTTCCATTTATTTCTTAATTCCTTAGGGTGCTTAGCTTCTAAGTCCCATTGCATCTGAGTAGCAGGAGCCCTGATCCATCAAGGTGATCTGTGTGGTGAAGTTCTTACCTCTTGGAAGTGTACCACTGTTGGTGACAATCATAGAAACAGCCCTAAACTTATATTCCTGTGTTTGCTCTTGTTGTTTTTGTCTTGTTGGTAATAATTGAAATAATTTAAATGCAACATAAATCTGTTTTAAAATAACTCTGGTAGAGAGGCTGTGATCTTAGATTCTAGTAAAGCTTCTTCTAGCATTGCAGACCTTTATTTGCAAACAGGTGACTTCTCATACCACCACACTACTTAAACAAGTCTTTGGTCACTGAGTGGGATTTAGCTCCTTTAGTGTCTACTGCCATTTTAGGTTAGCTTTGATAACCAAGACAGCAACATGAAATTGATGGATGTAACACATAATTTTCTGGAATTCAGCTCTTCTGGAATAGCAGCACAAAGGGGAGATGTTGATTCATCTAAAATAACATTAACTGCTTATGTTTGAGTAAGTGAATACCAGTGTGAAGGACAAAAATGTAAATATAGTCTTACAAGAGCAGTTCTCTAATCTGTGCCATGTATGAAGTAAAAAAGCTATTAGAGATAACTTTTCTTGCCATAAGCCAAAGTATTATCTCAATTATTAAAAGTGTCATGGAAGACTGGAAAACATGATCTTTCAGGTCCCTTCCAACCCTGACAATTCTGTGATTCTGTGCTATGGAGATGTCCTTCAGTTCTGGTGTTTCCCAGTTTTTCAGCAGAGGAAGAGAGTAAGCTGTCCAGTATACTTCCATGTTGTTCTGAACCCCAGCTATGGTGATCCTGGCAGACTTGTTGCCTCTGAAGATGACAGTACTGTCAGCATAAAAGCCAACTAGAAATATTCTTTTTGGTAGGTGTTGCACTGTATTTGTATTGAAACAATGGCAAAAATCAGCCAAATGGAGTAATTCTCTCTTCTTTCCAGCTGTGCATCTCCTTTAGGTGAGTCTGAATGCTCAAAGAACTCTGAGTTTGTTTTGTGGGCTTTTTCCTAGATTCCAGCATGTAGGCTTGGTTTTTATTTCACTGTAATAAAACACAGTGCGTGTGCTATTATTATTAAATCAGGCAGACTTTCCAAATGGCTACTTGTGGCCAGCTAGAGGCTTTTACCCCCTCACACTCCAAAAGAGCGGCTCGTGTATTGGGTGCCTAACAAAGTGTTAAGGTGCTCAAATAATTTGAGTACGAATTCAGTAAGTTACTCCTAAATTCTAAGTCTGAAGTCTCCAGAATTGTCTATTTCTAAAAATTCCACAGCTGTTAAGTGTAAACTATGTAGAGACTGCTTACATTATTGAAATGAGACAGGCTTTTCCCCTTAGCCTGGAGTGGCTCCTGACATCACTTAGCATGTTGTGGACATGCACAGAATGACAAGCCGCTGCAGGGTTCTTAGAGTTCGAGTGTGACTGATGCTCTAATACCTGAAATGGGCAAAACCAGCCTCTCTCCGTTGCCTCTTAAGGGTAAGCTTGCTGGAATAACCCTTATATAGGTTACTTGGTAGATTATGCTTTTTGCATGTCACAACAAATCATCTGCTGTATCTGTGGCATACTGCAGCAATACACTGAGATGATCCTGCCTTATAAAGTAGTGTATCTTCTCACTCGGTGCATTTCCTGCTAGCTGTGATGCTATGAGGACCTAGCCCACTCTGTGTTGCTGGTAATAATAAGCACAATCCCTTGGATTTTTTTTTTAGCAAATTCATAGAATGGTTTGGGTTGGAAGGGATCTCAAAGATCATCTGGTTCCAAACCCCTTGCTGTGGACAGGGACACCTCCCACTAAAACAGGTTCCTTAAAGCCCCATCCAGCCTGGTCTTGAACACGTGTGGTGGCGGACCACCCACAGCTTTCCCTGTACAATCTGTTCCTCTGTCTCATCACCCTCATAGTGAAGAACGTCTTCCTAATTTCTAATCTAAATCTGTCCTCTTCCAGTTTGAACCTATTATCCTTCATCCTGTCACTACAAACCCTTGTAAAACATCCCAGCTTTCTTGTAGGCCCCCTTCAGATAATGGAAGGCTGCTTCCCTTGAAGCCTTCTCTTTTCCAGTCTGAACAACCCCAATTCTTTCAGCCTGTCCTCGTAGGAGAGGTGTTCCAGCCCTCTGATCATCTTTGCGGTCCTCCTCTGGACCACTGCTCCAACAGGTCACCAGCTGCAGTGGTATCACTGTATGGTTGAATGGGATTACCCTTCTTTGGTGGGAGCAAGGAAGGAAAAAGCCAGGAGTCAGTGTTTCCTCCTCCCTAGCTGAACTGATCATTGCCAGGCTTCTAGGACATGTCTGTGGGGCCATTACTACCTTGCTGGAGGTGCTGAGCCCTACTTACCCGGCTCCTCTGGGGTACAGAACTACCTGTCCCCATATAATCCTTTCCCTCATGTGAGCTTCCTGGGTTTGATGGAAAGAGCTGGAGATCTGCTGCTAGGACGAGGTAGGAGGACAATGGCCAGGTGACAGCTCTTCTCTCCCCTCAATATTCCAGGGGGCATACCTTGACTGTTGCTTATGGGGAAGAGGGGCAGACAAAAGTCCTGCAGGCTACAATTTATAGAAAGGGACAGAGTTCTGCATTGCAAGATCACAACATATTGTAGATGTAATACTGATATTGTGGATACACAAATAATGTGATACTGTTTCTTAAGGAACTCATTAGTGACACATGAAATGCGGACTGTGAATACTCGAAATCATATCATGACTGTAGTGTTTGTTGCTTGCTAACCCTGGCTTCATGAGGTAGCATCTACTGGTTCTTTGGAAGAACTTTTATCTTGTTGTGGACCTGTCTGTATGGCAGGCCTGTTGCTCCTGTGTCCTAGGTATCTCAGATTTGGATAAATAAAATGATATGTGTTGAGCATTCAGATGTCAGAGACTAGATAGCTGCTTAACTGTATGTGGGGCAATATCTCCTACGAAACTTTGAAGAAGACCTCTCTGCATCTGTTAATAGGCTTGTGAAGCTCATTATGGCACACCTCATGAATAGTTCAGGCTCTGTGTTTTCTGGAGAGAGTTATGAATGTCTACAGATCAGAGTGGCTAAATATAAAATTGAGGTAATGTAAATACTTGTACTATGATCCATAAAGGTTTGTATTAAAATAGAACTTAAATCTAGAGTTGATAATATTCTGCCATTCCCTCCAACCTCTACAAGTTTCAGTTGTTCCTGTAATGACTTGTTCACTATGACTTAAATTCTAGGGTTACATTCCTCTAAATGCTTAACCCAAGATGTTATCTTCTGGTCAGAATAAACTGAAGTTACTCAGTTTCGTTAAGACTAGAGTTTGAACCAGTTTGATTGATGTAATTTCTTTGCATCTATGTAAAGTTCCAAGGATTGCAACAAATGTTTTCATTGTTTCTATTGAATTAATTGTTTCTGACCCTAATAGATTCTGTGTGTCTATTTTTAGTCTCCTTCTGTTCTTCCTACTCCCCCAGTGATCATGATCTGTGTTTTTTGCACTTGTTTGAAACAGTCAAAACAAGAGAACAAATCTCAGATGGGTTTTTGAGGTGACATCTGTTCTTTAGACAGGTGGATGATGATCTGTTATGTTGTCTGTCTCTATCAGCAAGTCCTAGTAAAAGCTTTCTCTTGTCAGAATAGTTAAGCCAAATGTGAATGGGCTGCTGCTGCTACCTTTTACAAAAGGAACACCTAGGCCACCAAAAGTAAGGCATATGGATCTTGCAAAATATTCACTGCTTCTTAAGGGGTACTACATTCATACGTATTCAGGGACTCTTCTAAATGCATACTGTGGCAATGAAAATATTAATGTTAAACAAATCTACCATTAATGTTCTTGAACTTGAGCTAAGCAAACTTAAATGTAATTTTTCCCTCTGTGTGTTTTATTTCATGTTTCTACTTGAAAGGTGATTTTGAGCATTTCTGTACTATACTAGAAACTGATGCCTTATGTCTTGTGAGGCGTTCGGTAGGTATGAGGCAATTGCAAAATAATTTATTCTTTAGAAAGTTACATTTATAGTAACATCCTTTGTTATTGCAGTTTTAAACTTCGTTGCACTTAATCTAAACACAAAGAAAATACAAACCAGACACCACTAAAATATTTTTCATTAGAGATAATGGAAACTTTTTCTTTTGGAGGCCCATAAAAGGCAATGAAGGCCCCAAAACACACAGAGATTTTTTTTTTTTTTTTTTTAATTCAATGCTTTTCTCTTCTGTTTCTCCAAAGGCTTTCCTATGTTCTGTAAGTATTTGTTATGAAGGTACATACTCTCAAATAATAACATTCGGGTTTACTTCTTGTTTAAAATTAGTAAAATCTTTTATGCTTGTATAAAAGTGGAATATGTCATTAAAGAAATTAATTTTTGCTTGTATAATATGTAAAAATTAGTTCTTAAACTTTCTACAGACTCTTGTTTAGCAGCATATTTACTGCAAGTAGTGGTATCCATCCTTCAGGGCTGGGGGATGTTTGTTTAATACCAGGCATAGTGTATATATTGAGTCATAGTGCAGAGCTTTTAAAAAAAAAAAAAAAGCTCTGGTGATTTGGAGGCTCATGGAACACACACTTAGTGTGTTTGAGTTTCTGAGAAGCAGAAAAAAATATAGGGAGAACTAATTCTGGTCTGATGTGCACTGAACACAATCTTCAAAATACACAAATTATCAAAATTTATGTCTGTAGATAGAAGGCAACTGACAGGGTTTTATATGCTGCATTCACTGAACAAATGGTTTCTCAAATAAATTGAAATTAATAGCTCAAAATCCATGAAAAAAAATGAATACTTGGATTCTTGCCCTTTAAATAAGGCAGGAAAACACCAAAGAACTATCTCCTTCATATTCAGCACTGAATAACTTTCTAGTACTTCACTGATACAACATCCACGAAAGTGAAAACCTTTACATATGTAAAAACAGGTGCTGTTGCCTTTTCTGGCAATAATCAGAAATTGATTGAATTAAATGAGTCAGATTAATCTTGTAAAGTTGACACGAAGTCTGCAAAGCACAAACTTCCACACAGGAGGAACTGCTGCCAAGCAGTCTTCTCCCCCAGTGATCACAGAGACTAGTGTTGTGAAGAAGATAAAAGTGGGGTCTGGCCTTTAGTAGTCTCAAAACTCATTTTCTCATCTGAATGCCTGGGTAAATCATGGTAGAGTTTTTCTGCTGCCAAGGCACTTGGATTTAATTTTTGAAGCATAAATAGAAATGCAGTTAAAATCTCTTAGACTAATAAAGCAATCCTAGAAACATGTCACACAAAACTTGCAAAAACTGTTAGCATTCAGATGGCTCTCCTCAGAACTAGCAGCTACTTGCTAATCTGCTCACAGTTTTATCTGCATCTCTCAGCTCTAGACAAGTAAAGGGCAAAAATCTGCAACAACCAAAAAATGTAGTAAATAGAAAGGAAAAGAAAGGTTACATACCCTGGTTATGATTAAGGGCTGGTTAAAATCTATTCCTCCCGAGAGCCTGAACCCCCAGGGTGCTGGTCCTTGGAGAGTAACGTTTTGTGGCATTGTGAACAGTTCTTTTTCTCAGTTACAGTTCTTCTTTCCTTAGGTCTGTGTGAGGAGCCAAGCTGCAGGAGAAGGGTGCTGTCAGCAGAGCACCTACCAGACACGGCAGCCGGTCTTATCTACCTCCTAGGAAGTTTTACTCATCCCACAGCTGCACTGCACTTTATCCCTGCTCTTTGGGTGACGTCAGCCAGTCCCTCGGCTTCTCCACCCACAGAGGGGAGTATCAAACGCAGACAAATAAAGCCTGGACGCTGGAAAGTTTACAACAAATCCTTCAGCTTTATCTGCTGCCCCAGCGTCCCCTCAGCTGACAATGAGTGCGCTTCAGGATGCAGCATCCTGACTTCTTAAAGCAGCCCTCTTGCTTGTGTGGTGTCGTGATGATTACACTGCTGGGGCTTGTTTCAGCTCTGACTTTGCACACGATTCCGTTTCATGTAAATGGGATCAGAAATGCTGATAAGGAGATTTCCCTCTAGGGCTCTTGTTTTACATCTTGTCTTATTTGTAATGTAATAGTTTGTTACTCTAAAAAGTCCTTCCAGACCTTCAGCTGAGTTTTTTGGCTATAGTCACTTGAGACCATGGCATGTACCAACTCTAATGGCCTGAAAAATCTGCACTGATGTCATGCATATTTTTCATACTGAGGAAGAGAATACTGCAGTACTAGCTGATGGTGTCTCTTCTCTTTGTAGAAATCTTAGGGGTTTTTAATGGTAGTTACAGATACCTTCTGCTGGTCGTTTGTGTTACTGAATAAACACTGGACATTCCTTTTGGTTTTCTTACACCAGCTGTATCCTCACTTCTGTATCCTTTATATTTTGTTCAAAAAGAGATGGAGAATTTTTCAGTGATGATGTAAGTGTTCATTCACTCGCTTATCATGGTGTTAGAGATTTCTCTTGATATGTGGTATCAGCAAAGTTAGTCTGTGCATGGGTAATGTTCTTTAAGCATCTCTGTGCCCAAAATGTGGCCTGTTCTAGGATGCTGTCTACAGCTCTCATCAGGCAGTGGCAGTGTGGTGTCGTTTGTTTTTTGGTGGAAGTGTTTTTTGTTTTTTTTTTCCTATTTGTTCGTTTTGTTTGTTTTTATCTCCTCTCCCTAAATGAGTCAACAGCAAGTCAGTGAGAGCTTGGAAAGAATAAAAACTAGTGAAGATACATAATTTGGTGTAATAACAGTTGACACAATTTTTCTGCCTTTGAGGAAAGTTTCTGGTTGGTATTTTTGTGTGTTTTGAGGTTTTGCTGGTGATATTTTGTGTGCTGTTTTGGTGCGTGTGTTTTCTTTTAATGTTTTTTTTTTTTTTGTTCCTTATGGCAGAGGATGTACCCACTTTTGTTCAGTCCGTGCACTTTCCTTTCTTACTGGTTGTAGCCTGGTTAGAGAGCCTCTGACAAGAAAGAGCATAAGAGAGATGTAAGCATAAATTCAGGTTCCTATCATTCAAATAATCTCTGGTATAGGTCATTTGTTTAGCTGTAAATTTCAATATAAGATTAATTTCCACCTCTTATTCTGACTTACTGAATGTCCTTATCTGTGCCTGCTGCTAATGTCTATATAGTTCCTCAGTAAGACATCCTCAGTTTTGGTGTTGTTTGGTTGGTTTACTTGGGCTGAATTTTTGTTGTTGTTTATTTTTGGCACTGTGAAGGTTAGCCTCAGAGTTTTTTTCTTGTGTTTGGCCTTTACTTGTAGCTTGCTCGTAGACTGTAGTTTTCATCATGGGGTTTTTGTATTTCTGTTCTTGTCCAGAATATTTCAAAGACCTCTACCATTACAATATATTTCACACCCTGTTTTGAATAAGATAAATAGTAGTAACCTGTTCAAAGTAAACTATCAGAAAACATATCTGTATTACAAAGAGCTTGCAGTGTGGCAGTTATCCTGAACTTGTGGGTGCACAGCTTATATTAGGGATGTGAAGGAAGACAGGCAGATTTAAAGAAATAAAGCAAGGTGTTTAGGCTAGGGGTCTATCAGCCTTGGTAGTGCAGATGTTTTGCATGTTTTGAAGTGGAGGAGAAAAATTGTCTTGTTGTTTGTGAGTTGCGTATATACTCTGATGTGTTCTGACGTGTTTTGAGATTGATTCAATATATGCTTTCAATATATTGACACTCTATGTGGTTTATACTGCCAGACTACATTGTGTTCAAGGTCAGAGTGTATTTCAGTTTGTTACCTTTTCTTTTCCTCCCTGATACCTATTTTGAGTGAAAAGACTCATGTTTGGTACCCTTTTTTATCCGTCTTTTCCTAGTGAATCCTGTAATGTTTTTTGATCTGTTGCTGGGAATATATAGCATATTAGATGTAAATTGCACACGAAGGAATTCTTTAAATGTATACAATTTATTTTTCATGGAGTATTGGCAAGCTCAAATAGTCAAACCTTTGGTGTGCTTTGGTAGAAAAGGACACAGAAATATAAGAATTTCAGTATCAGATCATACCCCTGAGTTTCCAGTTTCAAAAATTATACTTATATAATTACTTGTTAAATTGAGAGGTTTCCAGTAAATTCCTGTTAGTGAGTTATTGATTTATAGAATCATAGAATGGTTTGGGTTGGAAGGGATCTTAAAGAATATCTAGTTCAAATCGTCCTGACACTACATATTAATATAGAATACATAGGCTTCATAGGCTTACTTCTTTGCTTTATTTTTTTTTTTAGAAATCCTAATTGGTGAAAATAATTTGGAATTGCTTAAGTGTCTGTAAAATTTGTTCATGTCTCTGTACTATACTGAGGTATGCTCGTATGTCCCTCTTCATCTTGTTAGATACATAGAAGGGGAGAGTAGGCTTAACCTTTTTCTAGGCGGGTGATGGCTCTTAATTTCAGTGGATACCATATGCTTATAGGAGACTGAGCTCTGGATCAAAGATTTCATTTTTATTTCTGCCTAGCTTACTGGAAGAGTGACTTGCTCTCCAAGGTGCTGTTGTTCCAGACAGCAATTGCTAGATCCTGTTTTATTGATGTATTACCGGTTGAGCTTTCAGTTTATGCTGTGTTAGTTCTATGTTTATTCTATGTTAGTTTAGGCTATGAAAGTGGATTTTTGTCAATATATAGCAGTGTGACATTGTTTTCTTTTTTCTTGTGTCATTGGAGGTTCCATATAAGAAAACAATTAACTTCAACAGATTTTCTTGCTTTGTTGCAACACCGATAATCTTATAGTACAACTTTTCTTACCTGTAAATATAAATCCTCTGAATTTAATGACTATGCTATGAATTTATGTATGAAGTAGCCTCCTTAAAATCAGTCTTCTAGTTCATGGCATGACTAACCATAATGTTTAAAGCAGGCTCTTTCTCTCTAGATTGGTATTTAATTTAAATTTGTGTGCCAGATGTTGCTTTTCTACCCAATGCAGAGTAGTAGCATGATTCAAAACTTCATCACTGCATACCATGCCACCTCACTAGCTCTGGACAATCAAACTCCCTTGCCCGCAGCATGGCAACACATTCCCTTGCTGTTAGCGAAAAGCACACTTCCTAACTCATATCAGAAGAATTTTGGTTGTGTTTCTCTCTCAGTATGTCCCTGCCTCGGAACAAAGTGTTGTTTTCCTGACAATTTAGCAGAAAAATAAGTTACAAGTAGAAAATACTTAAAACCAATTCATCCTTCTGTAAACTAAGGAATGCTCTGCTGCAGGCTGCAGCTTTACCCTTAGAGGCAGAAACAAAAAAAAAAAAACCCAACTCTTCTTCACAGTATGCATTTTCAGCCATTCAGAACTTAGCTTCTGTCATGATAAACTGTACTGGACTAGGCCACTGTTTGTGAAGTTTAGACAGCAACAGCCTAGGATACCAAATGGAGTATGAAAATCGCTTGCACATGTGGAACAGCATGTTCTTAAACTGGCTCTCCAGAGGTGAAAGGCCAGAGCGTGCCCTACTGCAGAGTCTGTTTTCTATTTCAAAACACATGGGTGTATGGGAAATCTTAAGCTAATTTTAAAACAGTTTCCCAAAGCAGTAAGATATGGCTGTTAGGTACAGTTTGAAGCTTTTCCTAATTGCACAGTCAGGGAGCTGGAATGGTTAATAACTGGGATCCTAGTGAACTTTTCACCTCAGCTTTTGATTGGTGGATATCTGATAAATTAGCACCTGGCAAGGAGGGGAGGAGTGGGCCTTTGGTACTGTGTCCCTTTCCCAGGTGTTATAAATTTTCCAGGTTGGAAATACCTGGCAGGTGAATAAGGACATTCCTACAGTTCCTCCTCACCTGCTTCAGCTTCGTAGTTGTTTTGAAATAGTGATTTCGTTCAACTGTCCACTCATTTTAAGCTTTCAGTTAAGATATTCATATAGCTCTGGTACTTCTCCCTGCTGTTTAGGTTCTGAGGAGCAAGCTACAACTGATAGGCCTCTTCTTAAATTTTCTGTCTGCAGGCTCAGGAATCCAGGAATGTCCTGCCTTTTTTTTTTTTTTTTTCCTCATTAATCTTTCAAGAGTAATAAATTCGTTCTGAAAACACTGCAGAAATTGAAGACAAACCGTCTCATGTTCTCAAAAAACTCTCTACTTAGCAAATGGAGAATAGATGTCTTAGAGCCTTTTAAAGCCTATGTTGAGCATCTGATCTAAATTAATGGGCATGTAAGCGGTGAGTAAAAATTTTTACTGAAATGTATTTCAGAACTGTTTCATACCTTCTATGTAGAAGTAAAAAATAGAAAGTACAAATTTAAATCTTACATTTTCAAGTAAAACTTGTTTAGTTACAGATGTACTTGTTTTTATCTTATCTGAAATCTTTGCACCGATGTTTTGGGTTTGTTTTCTTATCAGTTGTCAAACAATGTGAAGGAGGAGTTGAGGCCTATATAAAGTAGTGACTAGCGTTTCAGCAAAGAATCTAAAGAGCATATTGAATGGAAGGAGGCACTTAAGTCACAGTAAGGCTTGAAGTATTATTCACCTTCATTTTGAAAACTCATGTCTGTAGCTTGTTTGCCAATTAACATGCGCATATTGACTTTCTATCTGTGTTGCTAAGATTCTGATTAGTGCATTGGTTACCTGAAGTGTTGCTTCTGTCATGGCACTTCTGC